CATTCGGGAAAAGAGTTCAGTAATTTCTGGAAATATACTAAAAATTTAAATCACAAAACGAGCCTCCCTGTAAGCGTGGTAGGGGTGTGCGGGCCGTCTGAAATCGCTAATGCATTTCGTAAGCATTTTATGGTTGAGTCTCCAGTAGTTAGTATTGAGCAGGTTTGCAATGCTCCGGCCACCTATCCGGGTGGCTGCCAGATTGGATTCTCGGCTAAGATCATTAGAGACACTATTCAACGAATGGTTAGAGGTAAATCACCCGGTTATGATAGTTAGAGCATTGAACACTTGAAATATGCTGGTGTTCACTTACCTCGAGTACTTGCTATGTTTTATCGTTTATATTTAAGTCATAGTTACTTACCGGCAGGTCTTACTAAAACCGTTGTAGTGCCTATTATTAAAAATAAGACAAATTATAGGCCAATATCCTTGGCTACTATTATGTCGAAAATACTGGATAGTCTGCTTGGTAACATATTAGCGGAGCATGTACAACTAAATGATATCCAATTTGGATTTAGGCCCGGTTTGTCGACCGAACACGATATTTTGTTCCTTAAACAGACTGTCCAATAATATACTGCCAGAAAAGCGCCTGTATTCGCATGTTTTTTGGATTTTTCTAGGGCTTTTGTGGCAGAAGCTATATAATGAGACTAGTGTACCCAGGGAGATTATATCGTTATTACAATGCTGGGCACCGGAAAAATGTTGTGAAATGGGATAGCTCTTATTCCGAAGTATATGGGTTACAATGTGGCGTTAGAGAGGGTGGATTAAGCTCTCCAAGACTGTTCAACCTCTATGTAAATCAGCTGATGGGTCGACTCAACATTGCCAACGTTGGCTATTACGTTAATGGTGTTTGTGTGAATAATATCGGTTACGCTGATAATATGGTGCTGTTGAGTTCATCTATAAGCGGCATGAGACGACTTTTGTCTATATCTGAGGGGTACGCAGCGGCTCACGGACTTAAGTACAACACAAGTAAAAGTGAGTGGATTCTATTTAAATCGGGTTCAATAAACTACACTGTACTTCCAGAAATTACATTGTGTGAGAAACCATTGAAGCGGCTTGCGAGTTTTAAATACCTGGGCCACTGGGTTACGGTTGATTTGAAGGACGATCTGGACATGGAGAGGGAGCGTAGATCGTTGGTGGTTCATGTCGGGTATTTTTTCTTTCTCTTCATTAATTTACCTTTTCACATTTTCAAAGTTAATTGCAGGACATGGACTTTTCCATTTGTAGGGAGGATTTTCCGCTTGGCTCTCACAACCTTGACGCTGCTGCCCGTTGCTGATCTGGATATACCTGACGTATAAGGAAGCTATAAGATTCTGTAGTATGTATAAATTTTTTTTTAAATACTGCTACGAAATTTAATAATTTTAAGAAATTTATAAAACTAACACATTACAACTATTTATTGTTCCAACAGTATTATATATTCGTTTGTAAATAGACCTTGAAAATCTATTATGAATTCAACTCGGTTAAATAATATATTTCGTATTCATAAATGTATTATGAATAATATCAAAATTCATTTAATGCATAATTCATTGTATTTAAAACAGATTATTGGAAACAAACTGTAAAGTACAAAGATTGTTTTACTAACAAGAATAATAAATACTTTGTTTTCTGGATATTAATAACAATCTTGAATATTTATATCTTATCATTATATTTATTAAGACTGCCTTCACCGAGTTTGAATTTAGGGTCGGATCAGTTATTGTGTTTTTCTGTCAATATTCTGTCATCAGTAGCAACCTATTATTAGAGATAAGACTATGTTTCACACAAAATTATCCGCATTTTCACTAACTGAAGTTTCTATTGAAGTTAACTATGAAAATTGATTGATGATTTATTTAATTTGTTATGTGTAACTACAGCTTTTTACCCGCAGCTTCGCTCGCGTTGGCTTCAATTTAGAAATATCATTAATGCTACTCTAATTAAAGTTAAAATTTCATATTCTAAGTCCAATTCACGATGAGCGTGTGAGAGGAACTATATTCATGAACCGGAGTAGAAATATAGAGAACATGGGTAGCAGCGTCTTTCTGATTACAGCTCAAAATAATAAAAAAGATGCAGTTGGCCAAGCATGGCAACAACGGCTAATATCCAACTTATTTCGTAATCTATGGAGGGAATCGAAATGATGAACGGTAGTAAAAATATATTAGTAACGTAAAGGCGGTGAAATAGAAACTAATACCCCATTTCGTCTCGTGAGTGTCGTAAGAGGCGACAGAAGGGAAACGGAAACAGGAAATGGGTGTCAGCATCTTTCTGATAACAATGCAGAGTAATAAAAAGCTGCGGTTGCCAAACCACTTGCCAAGCATGGCTACTACTGCAAATATCCGGCCTGTTTGACAAACAATGGGAAAGGCCTATGATAATCAGTGGATAGGCCTATTAAAAGTGAAAAAGTAGCAGCCTACATACATTCCACTACTGGGGACATGCCGCAGCTAGTTTCAGGACAAAAAAGAGTTGATTGATTTGACTCCAACGCGGGTTGACCGACCTCACATAAGTATACCTAAAATGTAGTCCGAAAGTCTTAGTCGTGTAGTAAGTCCGAAATATTTTTTAAAATTCTCAAATATGCAGGTTTCCTCACGATGTTGTCCTTCACCACCGAGAACGTGATTAATCGAACTTCAAATTGCAGTTAAAATATGAGTGGTGTCGGTGGAGATCGAATTTGTGTTGCTTACGTACTATGAAATTTACGTTTGGATAGGTTATGTTACCGGATAACTTACAAGATTCTATCAATGCAGTTCTACTCATAGTTAAAATAAAAATAAACATGCGTTTAAACTTTGCTGTCTTCGATATTTATAGTACTTTTTTGCACGAGCCTGTTCATTTACTCATGTCAGCTATGAAACCGGGACTGTCACAAAAATCTCAATAGGTAGGTATGTCTGAACATATGAAAGCTATCTTAAAATATGACAACCTGTTATATAAGTCACATTGCAATTAAAAAAGTAAAAAAGCAGCTTACATACATCTTACATCTGTGCACAGGGCTGCTAATTACCTATGTGCAAAATAGTGGTTTCACATATCTATGATTTTTTTTAAAACTACTTAGACATCATGGTTTCGTCGCCAAGTTATTCTTTACCACTTCATTGAGCACGTTGAAAATAAACACATAAAATTTCCTTACCAGTTTCATTAGTCCTCGCAAGAATCGATCACTTTTGTTCCTGTACTTTGAAGTCTTACGTCAAGCTACACGGCTCTCGTATTTGCTTAAATAAAACTCATAGAAACTGAAAAGAAGCTTTTGTACTATTGTGGACCCTATCTACCTTCTAATTAGTCATTCAAACTATTAACTTAATTTTCAATTACTTCATAGGACTTGATACAAAAAGAAGTTGGTGAAACATTACTATGCTGATAGACACCGAACATATTCAGCTAACGACATTTTGTCTTAATCACAGTTTTGTGTACATAGTTCTGCTAGTCATTTTCATATAAGTGACAACTACGATAAATCATCCCGACACCGGGCTGAATATTTTGTCTGATATTTTTGATGTTGAAAGAATAAGTAATCAATAGAATTCTCTTTAATTTCATCAGTTACTTATTCTTAGTTTATTTAGCAGTAAGTACATAGCGCTATTATGATATTAAAACGATGAAAACAAAAAACTGTACCCTCGAGTAGGTACTCAGCGACAATAAGTTGAGGTACGTCAGAACACACAGCTGTTGTGAAGAATCGACGCCCCAGGAAGTCTGCAGTCTGTGAACACGTACAGGATAGCCCCCATCACTACATTAGATTTTAAAGACCTCAAATCTTCGCTAAAAACACCGATTACTTCCAACGATGATTCCTGAGGCTATTGCAATCAAAAAACATCCTAATTTCAATAAGATGACTGGGTGCTACCATCTACTTGGGACCCTATAATTAATAAAATTAAATCCCAACCCAAGCATACAACTGCAAGACTTCAAGATACTGTAAGTTCATACTGCGTAGATCGGAATAAATAATAATAATTTTTAATCTGGAGGTAGCCTTGGTTAACTATAACATTGGGACGTCAAACACCTCAGTGCCCCCAGTGACCATGGGTGCCGTTAAGTACTCGAAACATCGGGAATATAAAATAAGTTAATATACACGATAAAATCCGTAAAACCAATTTTATTTAAAAATTTATTTATTTGAAATCGGTCTGTGCATATTTAAATCGTATATGCACAGACCGCGGCCCGCGGGTCGCATGCGGCCCGTCGGTCGAATACTGGTGGCCCGCCGACAGCAAAAATAATACTCTCGTACATTCGAAAAATATTGAATTATATTCCAGAATAAAACCAAAAAAAATATGTTCGAAAAGTAATTTGAATCTCGCGCGCGCGCTCTTAAGTGCGCTTATCGGTACGCCGTGCATGCGTCGGTAACAGCGGTCGGTAATGTTCGTGCTGATCTCGGTTAAATTCGTTTTCTTGAGGAACCGCCGCGGCCGGCGGCGCGGCGACGACGGCTGCGCGGTGGCGGCTTATCCACGGGTTATATTGTTAGAGCAAGCAAGATAACAATAGTCCCGAATTCCCAATTGCTCGCGTAGGTAGATACACGAAGCTTCCAGAGTCGGTTTCGTGATTTCTCCAGACAGTTTTCGACTCTATACGCGCGGTATAAAAGCCACGCTAACCGCAGCGACCGACAGTTCGGTTTTAATTTGAGTGAAGTGTCAATAGTTCTAGTGTAGATTTTAACTCGAATAGCCGGTGTCATATATTTTGTCAAGTCCGTGTATAATTGTGTTGTGAAATCGTAAGTAAAACTCTGTTAATAATAAGTGTTTCCCTACCTATTTAATCAATTATTTTTGGTAATTTAAAAAAGGATGGGTAATTTAAGTAGGTACTGTAATTGTTTTTTGGTGCTGTGTTAATCCTAGCCAGGATTAGAAGGCAACATGGACAAGCCAGGACCTAGTAAAAAGCGTAAGGTAAAAGATGAAAATCGGCAGTTTCAAGAAATTTGGACTGAGAAATACTTTTTTGTATGGTCGCATAACAAAGTCGTTTGTTTAATTTGCAAGAATTCTGTTGCGATTGCAAAGGAATATAATGTAAAAAGGCACTATGAAACGCAGCATCCTACTTTTACCAAGTTTACAGGTGAATTAAGAAAGCAAAAAATGTTGTCTTTAGAACGGGAGCTTATTGGTCAGCAAGCTATGTTTGCAAAACCCATTCAAGATTCAGAAACAGCTACAGAAGTTAGTTATGAAATTTCTCGAATGATAGCAAAGCGAAGTCGTCCCTTCAATGATGGGGATTTTGTAAAAGAATGCATAGAAATTGCCGCTAAGAAAATGTGTCCAGAAGCAGCAAAAAAGTTTGAGAAATTTCAACTGAATCGTATGACTATCCAAAGACGAATTATGTCTTTGTCAGGTAATATTGCGGAGCAATTAAATGAAAAAACTAATATCATTGAATTTTTTTCATTAGCACTCGACGAATCCACTGATATTAGTTCCACAGCTCAATTTCTGATATTCATACGAGGTGTTACTCAAGATTTTGAAGTCTTAGAAGAGTTATTAGGAATGTGTTCATTAAAAGGTCAAACCAGAGGAGTTGATATACTCAATGTAATTTTGGATGAGTGTTCAAAAACTGATTTGGACTTATCAAAATTATCGGGAGTTGCGACTGACGGTGCTCCTTCGATGATTGGTGTAAATTCTGGGCTAGTTACTTTGCTGAAAAAGCATCTGCAAGAAAAAAACATAAACGCTGAAGATCTTATGCAGTTTCACTGCATTATACACCAAGAAGCCCTCTGTTCTAAAAAAATTGAATTTCAAAATGTCATGAAAGTGGTAGTTTTGACTGTAAATTTCATAAAATCACGAGGACTCAATCACAGGCAATTCAAACAATTCCTTGATGACATCGAAAGCGAATATGGAGATTTACTGTATTATACAGAAGTAAGGTGGCTAAGTCGTGGATTGACACTGGAACGATTTCTAAATTTAATAGAAGAAATTGGAATATTTCTGGCGAAAAAGCAAAGGGATGTCCCGGAACTTAAAAATCCTGATTGTTTGTGTGATTTGGCTTTTTTAGTTGATATTACAAATCATTTGAATGTCTTAATCACACGGCTTCAAGGCAAAAATCAACTGATATCCCAGCTCTACGCTCATGTAGCATCCTTTCAATGCAAGCTGACACTTTTCAGATCGCAATTGAATTCTGGAAATTACAATCATTTTCCGAATTATAAGAAAATGGCTGAAAAATTCAACAAAGCTGCGATTAATTTCAGTTATGTAGAAAAGCTAGATATTTTGATTCAATCTTTTCAAGACAGATTTTCGGAGTTTAAAAAGGTGAAACCTCTGTTGGACATATTCAGCAATCCTTTCACGATTTCTGTTGATAATGCGTCAGAGTCAATGGAGTTAGAAATTATCGACATTCAAAACGACCAAGATTTACGTAACAAATTCAACGAAGGAGACTTGCTGAACTTTTACCGCTGCATTGATAAAAATACGTACAAATAGTTGCGCATAAATGCTCTGAAATGTGCCAGCTTATTTGGTTCTACCTATATATGTGAACAAACCTTTTCAATACTAAATAATAATAAAACAAAAATCGAAACCGCCTTGCAAATGAAAGTTTGGAAGCAGTTTTACGTGTTGCTACAAGTAAATTTGAGCCAAATATAAAAAAGATTGTAAGCACCATGCAGTGCCACGCTTCAAATTAATAAATTCTTTTTCAATTTTAATACATTATTATCAATTCTTGATTGTCTTTAATTACCTATACTTCTGGCGGCCCGCCATCAGTTCATAATTTGCCCGAGTGGCCCCCAGTCTTAATAAGTCTGCGCATCACTGGTTTAAATAGAACAAAAAGCAACTAACATAAAAACATAACATTTTCTTACATTGTTAGTGAAGAAAATGGGTTCAGTAAAACATAATAAAGCCCTTAATTTGTACACTGAGGTATTGTTCTGTGTATCTTGTTAAAGATTGTTTAGTCAGCCATTTTCTTTAGAAATTTGTTTGTAGAGAAATATTCTTAAGGGAATTAAAGTTCGGAATATATTTTTTTATAGGATAGAGTGACAAACGAGCTCACAGTCCACCTGATGGTAAGTGGTTGCTGCGGCCCATAGACATCTACATCTATCCTCGTTTGCGAATCAAAATGCAGATGCGTTGTCACCCGTGACGACTAAGATGGAAAGCCTCTTTTCCAGTAAAAAGGGTCTCCGGTTCTCTACACTCACCGTACGAAACACAGCAGTGTGAAGCTGCTAATTTCCGCTGGTATTCTGTGAGAGCGTGGTCCTACCCCGGTCGAGCCGACCCATTCTTGCTACAACTATACTACTAATATAGCTACAGCATGGCGCTATCACGTAAAAATAATGAAATAAAAGTTGATCTAATTTGTGACAACGTCTGACAACTACGTGATGCTTCTTTTAATACTGGGTATTTATTTTTGACTATTTATTTATAATTTCATTACGGTGATTTATATTTGCTTAAAATTTTACTAGTCTATTTCATCATCTGCTATAATGGACATGATTTTAAACGTATCTAGACTTATGTATGATATTAATTTTATATCGTTGAAAGCCAACAATTATTCTTAGTGGAACTCTCTATGTCTTCTCAATAAATTTAAAAAAGAAGATAATCCATGACCATTTTACTTTTAAATTGATTATTATGGAATAAAGGTATGTTCCCTATGCTGAGTGTAGGGAACCGGAGACGTTTTCTACCAGTAACGAGATATTCTATCTAAGTTGGATGGTTCTGTGGCGCAGTTGCTTAGTAATTAATTGCAGCGCATAGGGCCGCGGGTTTGAATCTCGCACGGAACAAGTATTTGTATGGCCTACAAATGATTGTTTCGGGTCTGGATGTTTGTCCGTGTGAAATTTATGTATTTAAACTGCCCCGACGATACAGGAAAAAAACTTAGTATGGAGGATACGTTTTTTAAAAGAAAAAAAAAGATCATAGGGGTAAGAATACAGAAACGCATCTACATGTTGATTTTTTTTGTTTTTGATTTAGATTTTTTTTTAATCGAATATAGATGAATATATCTATTGGCCTCAACATACGCTTTCGATCAGGTGGAATGTGTAACCGTTAGTCACCCTTATTTTATAAAAGCAAAACTCTACAGGTAAGCGATTATGTGGGCTACACGGTCGTCATTATTATAGCTATGTTCTTCTTGTAATGGATCGCTTCTTAATAAAGTTTCGATATTTAGGAGTGGTACATATTAAATCTCAAAACGAGTGACGCGGCATATACATCATCAACATGATCATCATTACAGCCCTTCACAAGTCCACTGCTGAACATAGGTCTTCCCCAAGGACTGCCACAAAGCACGGTCCTGAGCCACCTGCATCCATCGACTTCCTGCATGTCTTACCAGGTCGTCACTCCACCTAGTGGAGGGACGCCCTACACTTCGTCCGCCGGTACGAGGCCGACACTCGAGATCCTTTGTCCCCTATCTGCTGTCGGTTCTTCGAGGTCCATTGCCACTTCAGCTTACTAATCCGTTGAGATATGTCGGTTACTCTGGTTCTACTGCGGATATTCTCAATTCTAAGTTTATCACGCAGAGAAACCCCGAGAGCACAGCCCTCTCCATAGCTCGCTGAGTGACTTTAAGCGTCCTCATACGGGCAGCAGTGAAGGATCACGTCTCAGTTCCATATGTCATCACTGGCAACACGCACTAGTTATATAATCTCCTATTCATGTTTTGAGGTATACCTGAACAGCAATATTACAATAAAAGACTGCGGTTGTCGGCAAATATCTCTAACTATGGCAAATATCCCCCCATGATGAAAGTTACGAAGAGTATATACATACGAATAAATATTAGGTCTTTACCTATTAAATTGCCATTTTTATGAAACAAACTCAAATTTTTAACGTATCCGTGATGATGAAAAATATTCAAATGCGATGATAACATAACGCTTCTCAATATTAAAATGACTAATTTTGAAAAACATAATTCCATGTTTTTAAAATAAAATTAATTTGAAATTAGGATTTTAAGCCAAACAAAACATTTTTTATTTGAAATGGCTAGTACTGCAGAACGGCAATTTTATAGGTAAGACCTATTTATGACCACCTTTAAGAACAATTCAACATAGAGGACTATAACATACTGAAACTAATTTAAAATACTCGTAATACTAGCTTGACTACAACAACATAAGCCGTATAATTCAGGAGCTAAGCGCTTAACGTAAATTTTTATACGTAATACGTATACAATACAACCGCATTTAAGTGCTGTTGTGCTGATTTTCTATGTGTTTCTTCCAAAGAAAATATCGTTACAAAACCTTCATGTCTAAGGAATGAAATAATTCGAGGATCATAATATTATGTTCCAGCTATCACAGCTCAAATGCTAAGAAAGGCTCATTACGTAAATTTTACAAAACGCGAGCAACCCGAATTCGATTTCCGCCAGAATCAATGAGTTCATTGCAAATCTAAGTAACATTTTCTATTTGCTCAGGGGTGAAAGAAAACATACTGAGGACACATGTATATCTGAGGAAAAGTTACTTCAAAACTTCATGTTATGTCCGCGAACATGCACTGCATTACAGGCAAAGACGGATTACTCCATGATTCTCCCAGAAATGAGAAAAATCTTTTTTAGCATTTACAGGTTGTAACTTAACTACCAGTGGTAGAGCCACGGGGCAGCTTTTGCTGTCGCACGGATGGGCCGGCTCGAACCGGGGTGGTACCACGACCTCACAGAAAACCAGCGTGAAGTAGAGGTTTACCTCTGCGTTTCGCTTGGTGAGTGCAGGTGGCCGGAGGCCCTTTTTACTGGAAACGAGGAATTCCATCTTAGTCCTTACGGGTGACAACGCATCTACATTTTGATTTGTAATAGAGGATAGTTGTAGATGACTATGGGCCGCAGCAACCACTTATCATCAGGTGGACTGTGTGCTCGTTTGTCACCTTTATCATATAAAAAAAAAACTTCTTTTGAATTATTATAAGTCACTGTTTGACTTCAATCCCACCTGGTGGTAAGTGGTGATAAAACCCTTGATGATAAATCGCATTTATTTAGCGTAACAAAAGCCTTGAAGACACCTGGATTGTATTCGAACGGAAAGATAGACGCCGATAAATTATTCAACAACTTTGCTGTATTGCACGCCTCATAACGCGAAGCATACTTAGGTTGTGCTTTACTCTCGACACGTCAAGGCCAAGCAATTTTGTGTTCTTAAACTGCCTCTATCATAAACATATTGCACTTATACGATAACTCATATTAACAGTCTAATTAATCCATCTCATATTTTCTAAAAAATCATTTTATTTTGATACTTTGAAAAAAAAACTGTTTGAAAAAGTTTTACGTGGACCTTCGGATGTTGATTTTATACGTGGTCACGATAAATCCTGAAAATATTGACGTATTGAGACCGGGTTTTTTTATTAACTTCAGAATTACATCAACTGATTCCCTATTTCATATAAGTAACCTTAGTACGCGTCGTTTGTTAATAGAATGAATTTCTACTTTTATAACTTTTATTGCTATTAAAATTTAAAGGCGGTTTCATATTTTTTAGCCCTTGATCTGCAAAGAACAAATTTGCCATACAGCCTATATCGATTTTATACATTGTGTAATCGATTTATTTTGGTAAACATTATTAAATTTTCCCTGTAAGTGACAATAACTGTTAAAATAATAGAGCACTAAATTTAAAACACGTAAATAACATATATTAAAAGTCAGGAATACAATTTTTTATCAAAATTAAATAAAACTCTCATGAGGCGAGCACTTTAGGATTTTCCAAAATATACTTTTAATTTTTTTTTTAATTTACTACTGCAATTGCTTCTCCTGCTGGTACTAGATTATATCCTTCTGTATGAACGTCTGTCAATACCTATATCTATAGATTAACAAGATATACATTCTATACACATCTTTTCCGCTTAACCTCAATTCGTGACTGCCATGCAGATCGCTTTTATAGCTAGTATATTTATGTTTGAAATTGGCTAATGGTTGAATTGGTTTTTGAGTGGCAGCCTTGCACTGCATGTAGCACGCAGGTGGCTGAAGACCTTTCCTTGTGGCAATCTATGGAAGAGTGATACTTAGTCTGATATAAATATTAGATATTACAAAACGGTTGTCGGAACAGGCATTTTGAAATTTTATAGCCGCATAAAATTTCGAGAATAGAAGAGAAAAATACGTAATACTGTAAATAATATCAGCAGATATTCATTACATATTAATATAGATGAATTGGAATATATATTTTGCTGTATGTAACTGTTTCATATTTAATTATTTGACACTGCGTTGATCGTAATGACATTTCTACAACCGTAAAATAATTAAATTTCCCGCGACCGTAATTCGTGTATATATTAAATTCATATTAACACGATTTGAAGCAATATCCGTTTTAATTAAGCTTAATATGACATTATTGAAGCGATTGAACATAGAACAATGAACGACGATAATCCTCAAGAGCTTTGGTTACATAATTTTAATTAGATGCTTAATAAACTACACGTGCAATTTTTATCCCCGGTTCTCCTCTACTACAACTTCATGCTGGTGTTCTTGTGTGTGAATGTGGTGCTTCCCTTCGAGTCCACCTTTTCGTGCTGCAACCACAATATTCCA